TAGTTGATATATGCTCCTGACAATGTTTGGGTAGACTGAATTTTTATAAATTTTAAACACACTAGGGGGTACATGCATTTTCTTTACAAAAGAATATTATCTTTTGTAAAGCAATCAAACGTACTATATCACTTGTGCCAATATGTATTTTTTATATTGCAATTGCTCACTCTGAAGTACTTTTACTTATCAAAAAATAATAATAATAATAAATCCAGTAAATGGTAAATATCCCTGAATCACGTGGAGGAACATATTGCTCAATCACTGTAATTTCAATAACATTTCTTTTCCTCTCCTTCTAAAATTCAGTTAAATTGTTTTAACTAATTATTTAGACAATGCCATCTCATAGGATTTTCATTTGGACAAGCTAGATAACATAAAATTCATTTAACAATGCAATAAAACATTTGCAATTTGGAGGACAAAGAGCTTCTGTTAAATTCAAATTATTATTATTAATATTAGTAACAGTTAACAGTAATTAATGTACCTCCAAGTAATGAAGTAGTAAGATTGTATAGAGAAATTGATTTCCATTGGAGTAGTTAATTGTGCTACATGATGCTAAATGAACCAGGTAAAACATTTAAAGTTTAGTCAGTCCAGTTATTAGAGTTATGCAGATATTGTGAATGCAACTTTAATTAATTTCTTCAAAGCGTTTTATAGTTTGGCATTGTTTGAGGATAATAGCAATTGAATGACTAAATTATTCTCCATGCAATTTTTATTTTCAATTTCAATGCAGCTAAATAGGGCTTTTTCTTTGCTTTGCTTTGAACTACTATGTTTTAACATTTATTAAGCATTGACTTTGTGTCAGAAATTGTGTTTATTGTTTAATGAGGATTGGCAATCCTCATCAAGCTTTTTTGCCAAAGTAAAAGAATTCTTCCTATTTTACAGATAAGGAAATGAAGGCATAGAGAAAAGACAGATATCATTTTTCCAGGGGAAAGATGAAGGAAAATAGATTTAAATAGCTGAAATAATTATTACAGCTCTATGAAAACATTTCCAATAATGTCTAATTTTGAAATCCTAGCTAATTAGATCTCAAACACACTTCCTTTCAGTGCAGGGTTACTACCCCAAATCTGGCACCCCTGTGTCTCCAAAACCTCATGCTCCAGTGCCTTTCACATAGTACTCACTCAGTAAGTATTTGTTGGGTAAATGAATGATCAGTTATTGTGCCCTCACAATGAAAATATAACTCCCTTATTTCTTACAGAAAGCCTTTCAGCTATTGAACTGCATGCATCAAACGTTTGTGTGGTTTGGAGATAAGAGTACTGTGTGATTTACTAGCTGCATGACTCTTTGCAAGTTACTTAATTTCTCTGAAACTCAGTGTCCTCATTAATGAGAGTAAATGATTTCATGCTCACGAATGTGTTCTTTTAAGTCCTAGAACACTATCTGGATAGAAGAGGCACTGAATAGCTTTTATGAAGCTATTTACTCGGAGATAAACATTAGTTCTTTTAGATCTAATTTTCATCACCACACAGTATACACAGTGTGGTGATTAAAATGATAGAATCTTCAGCCAGACGGTTGAGGTTGCTAGATGCCATTGAGTAGGTTTGGACTAATAAGTTACCCCATGTGACAGAGTAGATCTGCTTTATGGGGTTGTCTCAGCTGTGATTTTTTAAAAGGCATTTTGCTGTGAATTGAGTGAAGGTTTACAGAGTAGATCATCAGCTTTACATTCAACAAATCATATAGTTTGTTTCATTTCAGTGATTGCAATTCCCCCCATGCAGCATCAGTGATCCCACTTCCTCCCTGTGACTCTTGTTTCCATTCAAGCTTACGTTCCAGCTGCAAAAATCTGTGATGCACCAAACCATCCTCCCAGAACATTCTCTTTTCCTCAGTTTGGTTCCAATAATCCATTGCAATGGCTACACAATTTCAGACCCCATACTCAGAGTTATGTGGTTTATTAGGGAAGTTAACAGGTCAGAAATGTTCAGGATGTTCTAATCAACTGATGATAAAAACTCATAGGTCACATCACTACACCATAAGTCTCAACTTCAAGGCACTGAGCTCCCTCTGCTCTACTCTACAAGCAAGTTTACTGCCCAAGGTCACTTGGATGTACTTGCTCTGTGGACTGGGAAGTCAGCTGCTCTGTCTCATGTTCTGGTTCTTGGTTTTGCTGCTGCTGCTCCTCTGCCATTCCTCTGGTTTCACAACTTTCTGTCCCTGAGTCAAGGAAGTTCAATGTGCAGTAATCTCAGGGTCCAAAGGATGTGCTCCACTCCTGGCTCTTCTTGTTTGATGGTATGGACATATCTCCCTCTTATTTCTAAGATGGTTTATTTTATAACCATGCTAGAATTTCAAGTTTTTGTAACTACAGTTAACTCTGCTAACATCCACAGTGTAATCATGTTATCGTATCGGTACCTTCTCTCACTGTTTTACCCAAACCCAGTAGGGCAGAAACATTGTTGGTGGGAGTCACAGACATTGCCTAGAAGAGACATTAAATAATTTTATATACCACACCAACCCTTCTAAATTTTGTCCATAGGTAAATGATACCCCTTTGATCTTGAATGGCTGATCATTCCAGGGTGTGCACACCTCACTGTGTTGTTGTCCCCACTATATACCTATCTGCTGCTTAACTAGAAATGAACCACAAGGTTCCAGACCTGAAGGGTGGCCAAAGTCCATAGTTTTGGATTCCTCCAGTCACTTTCTGACAAGTCAACCTGGTCTTTTTAATGATTTTACATTTTGTTCCATATTTTCTCCCACTCTATCAAGGACCTTGTAATGTGACCCCTATCAGAACAATTGGTAGTGGTAGGTGGGCACCATCTAGTTTTTCTGGTCAGGGTCAATGGAGATGGATGTGCATGTGTTCTATTAGTCCATGGCAAAATATTAAATGATGCAGAAAGCATCAAAAGAAGATGAAAGGAATACACAGAGTCACTGTACCAAAAAAAAAAAAAAAAAAAAAAAGGTCAATGTTTAACCATTTAAAGAGGTAGCATATGATCAAGAGCTGATGATACGGAAGGAAGAAGTCCAGGGAGCATTTAATATGCTGAGAAAAAACAAGGCATTGGGAATTGATAGAATACAAATTGATATCTTTCAACAAACTGATGTGGTACCGGAGGCACTCACTCATCTATGCCAAGAAATTTGGGAGACAACTATCTGGCCAACTGACTGGAAGATTGTACCCATTCCAAAGAGAGTTGATCCAAATAATGCAGAAATTATCTGAAAATATCATTCATATCACATGCAAGAAAAAGCTTGCTAAAGATAATACAAAAATGGCTGCAACCATGCATTGACAAAGAACTTCCAGAGGTTCAAGCTGGATTCAGAAGAGCACATGGAATGAGAGATACCATTGCTGATTTCAGATGGATCTTGGCTGAATGCAGAGAATACTAGAAAGATGTTTTATTGACTATGAATGGCTTAAATTGTGTGGATCATGACAAGCTATGGACAACATTGTGGAGAATGAGTACTCCGAAACACTTAATTGTGCTCATGAGGAACGTGTACATAAATCAAGAGGCAGTTGTTCGAACAGAACAAGGGAAAACCGAATGATAAAATTAGGAAAGGTGTGTGCCAGAGTTGTATTTTTTCACCATACTTATTCAATCTGCATGCTGAATAAACAATTCGAGAGACTGGATCATATGAAGAAAGTGTGGCATTAGGATTGGAGAAAGACTCATTAACAAGCTGTGATATGCAGATGATACAAACTTGCTGAAAGTGAAGAGGACTTAAAATAGTTACTGATGAAGATCAAAGACTACAGCCTTCAGTAAGGGTTGCATCTTAATGTAAAGGAAAAAAAAAAAAAAAAAAAAAAAAAACCTCACCAATGGACCAAAATACAACATCCATATCAGTGGAGAAAAGACTTAATTTGTCAAAGACTTCATTTTGTTTGGCTCAACCATCAACACTCTTGAAGCATAAGTGAAGAAATCAAAGGATATTTTGCATTAGGCAAATCTTCTACACAAGACCTTTTTAAAATGTTGAAGAGCAAAGATGTCAGTTTGAGGACTAAGGTGCACCTAACCCAAGCCATGGTATTTTCAATAACCTCGAATGCATGTAAAAGTTGGACAGTAAATAAGGAAGACCATAGAAGAACTGATGCATTTGAGTTATGGTGTTGGAAGAGAATATTAAGAGTACCATGGATGGCCAAAGAACAAACAGATCTGTGTTGGAAGAAGTACTTGGAAATGTCCCTTGGAAAACAGGATGGTTAGACTTCATCTCTCATACTTCAAACTTATTATCAGGAGGGCCTGTTTTCCTGGAGAAGGATATCATGTTTGTTAAAGTGGAGGGTCAGAAAAAAAGAGGAAGACCTCAAAGAGATGAATTAGCACAGTGACAGTAGCAGTAGGCTCAGGTTTAGCAACGATTGAGAGGTTGGTGCAGGACCAGGCAGTGTTTTGTTCTGTTGTGCCTAGGGTCACTATGAGTCTGTACAGACTCGATACCTAACAATAACAACATTAGTCCATGGGATAAATTGATTCCAAGTGTCTTCAATTTTCATCAGTCTTCTTTTCTTCACACAGGTAGAGACTACTAGTTGCACCTTAGATGATCGCTAGTGAAGTTTAACGATCCCAGTCGCTACTCACCAAAGTAGAATAGGGCATAGTCTTTGTGGATATGTCATACCAGTTGACCATGGGTCACCTGAGACTATGGTACTAAGCCCCCAGGCCCAGCATCTCATTCCCTCAAGGTATTTGGTAATGTCTGAGAAGTTTTCATAATTTTGTCCTTTTATATTCTTGGATACGTTTGCAGCAAACGTAAATTTGTTTATGTTTCTGTTAAGTGCCATTAAGTTGCTTCCGGCCCATAGTGTTTCTGAAGAGCAACTGGTGAGCTTGAACCACCAAATTTGCGATCATACTGATTTTGCAGTCTAGCACGTTAGCCCAAAATGCCACATAACCATGCACAAATATCTTGCCAAGTCTTTACGTATTTGTGAGTATACTCACACATTCCCTCCTATACCCATTCAGCCTGTGCACCCGTATGCTCTGATTTTTATGGGAGAAGAGACCACTGATTAACTGGATTCAAGCCACCAACCTTTAAGTTAGCTGTCAAGTGCTAAAGTTTTATACCACCAGGGCTCCTTTCAGTCAAACTCCCCATTACCCATCGATGTTGACTTGATCCCAACTCAGAGCCATCAAGTTGGTTCCAACCCATAGCGACCCTGAACAGGGTTTCCGAGGCTGTAAATCTTTACGGGAGCAGAAAGTGTCATCTTTCTCCCGTGGAACAGCTGGTAGTTTCGAACTGCTGACCTTGCGGTTCGCAGCCCGATTCATAACCACTATGCTACCAGAGCTCCTTTCAGAGCTATACTATTAGAGTTTAAATCCTGATAACAATTTTTACTGTGGCTCAGTTCCTTCAACTCTGAAATAGGGATAGTAAGAGTACCTGTGTGACGCTGTATGATAAACAATGGACAGCAAGGTCGGTTTAAACTGCAACATCAGCAGTTCAAACTGACCAATCGCACCTTGGAAACTCCATACAGGGTTGCTATAAGTCAGAACCGACTCCATGGCACTTAACAATATAATACAATCACAGTAAAATAGCAAATGAGATTTGCTTAGAAAAGTGCCTGACTCATACTGTTTTAGCTTATTAAAACTTGATTATTATTTCTTTTGTAAATTTTAAAGTATTTTTATTCTACAATGTCTTGTTGAATCATCCCAGCCTTTCTGTGAAGTTGGAATGATTATCCCTACCTTACAGTTGAAACTGCCACTCAGAGTGACTCAATGACTTGCCCAAAGAATTAAGATTAGCAGAGCCAAGACATCAGCACTGGCCTTTGCCCTATAAATCTTGTGCATATTGATTTCTACTACCTTTTCCATCAACCTGCCAACCCTCCCTAAAACCAGCTTCTTCACCACTTTTGTCTTGCATTCTTCCCTTTGCAGATCCCTATTTGAGCCAAGGCAAGAGGTTGTGGAGCAGACAGAGGGTAACTGGAAAAACCTGGAGACATACAACTATAATAAATACCACCCCATTGAGGAGGTGAGCATGGAGTGTTACTTATTACTATCTATTCTATGGTAGGGGAGTGATAGGTCACCGTTAACATCCATGGACTAAAACCAAACCAAACCTACTGCCATCTAATCAATTCTGACTGCTGCTGCTGCTGCTGGTGGTGGTGGTTATGTGCCCTGGAGTCAACCTCTTTATAGAGTTTCTGAGATCGTAAATCTTTATGGGAGCAAACAGCCTCGTCTTTCTTCTGGGGAGCAGCTGGTGGATCTGAACCATTAACCTTACAGTTAGCAGCCTAATCCCTAGTGCCACAAGGGTTCCTTGTCCATGTACCAGAGAGGCTCAACATTTGGTGTTTTAATTGGCCAGTGTACTGAATTTGAGGGATTTTCAAACATCCCTGCACACCCCTACCGCCCTTTAAGCTATAAAACCTATGAGTTAAAAAATAAACAAGCAGATTAACAACATCAAAAAGAAAAAAGAACACCCCAATAAGCCAGCTTTGCTACTATGACCATGACCAGAATTAATCTAAATTAATAAGCTTGTTTATCAAGTTCCCAGAAGGTGTAAACAGGGCAGAGTCGGTATGTGTCTGGATGTAGGAGGTGGAGTAGAGAAGCCTTCTGAATGAATTATATTTAACTGAAAATGAAGTATTTTTTATAGAAGCATGAGACATAGGTAGCAATTCTTAAGAGGGAAAATTTTTTTTCAAAGAAATATTTGTGATGTTACTAAGTTTGGTGGTTTTTAAAGATGGATACTGTGAAAATTAGCTCAAATATGAGTCAGAATTGACTCAATGGCAGTGAGTGTGTCATGCATATGCACACTCATATTGTTGTTGTTGTTAAGTGCTATCAAGTTGGTTCTGACTCATAGTGACCCTGTGTAGGGTTTCTGAGGAGTGATTGGTGGGTTTGAACTGCTGAGCTTGTGGTTAGCAGTCCAGTGCTTACCCTACAGCATCACACTAGGGACTTCTATTATACTTTTCTTCTTATGTTGTTGATGTTGTTAAATACCATCTAGTTGGTTCTGACTCATAGTGACCCTGTCTAGGGTTTTAGAGGAGTGTCTGGTGGATTTGAACCTCATGGTTCAAACTGACCGTGCGATCCAGTGCACCGAAGCATGCGTATGTGTGTATATATGTACATCTTCACATGCTTAGGCAACTATTTTTGAGATATACATTTCTAAAAAGGAAATTGCTAGACTAAAGGATATGCGTATTTAAATTTTGTATTATAAATAGACAAGTTATCCCTCAAACAGACTGTAACAATTTATACTCTCAAATATACTAATATTTTTCAGAGTATAAGCAAAAAATTTAAACTTTTTTTCTGCAACTATTTTCACAATCTGAAGAACAGATTTGATGAATTAAACACTAAAGACCGAAGACCAGAAGAGTTGTGGGATGACATCAAGAACATCATACATGAAGAGAACAAAAAGTCATTAAGAACACAAGAAAAAGGAAAAGGTCAAAATGGATGTCAGAGGAGACTCTGAAACTTGCTCTCCAGCGTAGAGAAGCCAAAGCAAATGGAAAAATTGAAGAGGTCCAAGAACTGAACAGCAAATTTCGAAGATCGGCTCGAGAAGATAAAGCCAAATACTATAATAAAATATGCAAAGATTTGAGTAGAAAAACAAAAGGGAAGAACACGGTCAGCATTTCTCAAGCTGGGGGAACTGAAGAAAAAATTCAAGCCTCAACTTTCATTACTGAAAGATTCTCTGGGCAAATTATTGAATGATGCA